TGCTAGCAATGTTTAAATGTTTAGCCTATACAAACTATAGTGTAGTAATATACAATTTATGAACGAGCCGATTAAAATGAAGGCATTGTCGAACCGCGGATACATGTTTTTATTATTGTTTTTACTTCTGATTATTTCCTAGTCTCTGTAATATTGATTTTCCAATAGTATGAACGCCGAATGAGGATTGAACGAGATCTTCGATCAGTCATTCCCAACTAATCACACACGAGGATTATATGAATACAGAACTTTGCTATATATATATGCATGTATTAATTAATAATCGACAACAATGACAAAACATTATGAATCCGTGGTTCGGTTAGGTTGGTCGGCTTGTTCAAGGCTCGTCGATGGTATAAATGAACCTTTAAACGATACATAATTGGAAATTGACTGACATTTTAATTATTACGTTTTACTCATTAATAGATATTTGTCTAGTGTAGCAGAAATGTACGATAATAGTTGTCATTTAAATTTAAATGAAACATGAAGAAAATAGACGAAAACAGAGCATTACGTAGTACAACAGGACGTTTAGATTTATACTTGAATAATTGATTTTGTTTTGTAATTAATCAGCTTGATAATTTGTACCGGTGTTCGTTACGGTACACAGTCAGTTTAGTAGTTCACCGCCTTTAGAGTATTATAGTTCTTCACAGGGTAGATACTCGAGGTTGGGGTTTACACAGGATTTTCTGGGGATTCAAACGTCGAGAACTGTCGCGGTGGTGGAAAAGTTAGACGACGACGAGGACGACGCGACGTACCATGCCGTGCCGTTTGGCTTCCGTTTCGCGCGCGACAGAGATATTTCTCGAAATGTAAATTTAAAGCCGGGTCTGAGGATCCCGGCGCAAATTTCACCACTTGCGACTCGATTCCCCGGGATCTTCCCTTACAACGGAACAGCCCTTTTCCCGGCTCTTGTTATAACTAGCCCGCGAAATTACTTGATTCGCACGGCGAGGCGTTCTCCTTCGCGCCACTTGCGGGTCCGAAAATTTTGCACCAAACCCGCAGTACCGTGAGCGGATTTAACGCAAATTCTAAATTAATTTCAGACAACGAAAAATTCTCAATCCCCGTAGATCAGTTCAATTTTAATATAAAGAATCGAGCAGGTGTGTTTATAAAAGAAATCGAAAATTATTTACGAGTCGTATCAGTACGAGGAAATTGATTCAAAATTAAGAACAGGCGTATTTGTGCATGGGGTAAACAGTGTCCAATTTCGTGAATCAAACAACGGTGCTTGGGCACGATGCCCGGTGTAGTTGGTGTTTACGGGCAATTAATATTTCTCGTAACTGTCGTGTCAACCGTGATTTGTTGGATCGGGAAGAACACACAGAAGCGAAATCGTGCCGGACGAATAATTTCGTTGGTAACGCGATTTATCAACCGGGTCCCGTTCGTGGACCTTTTGTATTCGTTTCATTCTTTTCCGTAGCAGTCGGGCAGGCCAGCGTTTTCTTGCCCCGAACCTCGTTCAACGTTGCTACATATAGTCGGATCCAGGGATCGCGCACGTCTGTGTGTAACGTTCCGGAACACGACCGGTCATGAGAAGTTTCCTTCTTCTCGACTTCCATTCCCGAGACTATGATAAATTGTTTCTCCCACTCGTAGTAACTCTTGCTCGCGAACGATACAATGGAAATCTTTTCTGCGCTTGTGAACCCGGGCTGCCAGTCAGCCGACAAATTTAATTCAACTCGATCACTCAATTCCATTGATCTTATCGACCGGTCCGAAAGAGCTTTGTTAATCTGACGAGTTTCCCAGAGAGAAAATTCGGAATTGAAATTTTTCGTATAGAACATTTTCTCTTCAGAGATCAGAAATGATAAACATGAATAATTGTTTACGAAACGAGACAGAGTTAATTTCCTCGTCGAAAAGCCCTGCACGCCTGCGAGCAATTTAAACGAGCTTTAATCCTCGTAAAGCAGAGAACCACTGAGCCCGCGCAATCATCATAACGCGTCCCAGCGATTACCATAATTAATCGACGGCTGGGAAAAACCGTTGGCCGATGCGTAAAGGCGCATGATCGCGTTTCCCTCGGCAATTTTCAACCCGCCTGCGGCAATTTGCGACAACCAGTACGCGTCATTTCGTCGCTGACGAAAATTACTACAAGGTGAGCGCTCCTTCTCCACAGAAGGAAAAACACCGACCGCACGCGAGCAAGCTCGCTCCTAATTAAAGCGTGGAGCCCAGAAACTGCATAACGCGGCTAAGCGAGGGGATGGTATCGTTTTTAAGGGAGCGCGAAAGAGAGAACCGGGAAACGGAAGGACAGCCGCGTCGCGGGATCGAGAAAGCGGAAGCGGATACAGGAATGGAAAGACTATGAGAGATATTTTCATTCTGGTTAGGACTGTTGCTCGTTGAATAGACGGGAAATATCGCGTTCACTGTGTGTATTTTTGGTTGGAATTGTACAAACCGGATCAGGTATTTAAAATTCCGACGTTATTACGAGGTGTCGGCGGTCTCTTTTTAAAGAGACAGTAATTATGTTCTTTAATATAGTTCCTTAGTTAATGGAGTACAGTTAAATTGTACCGCAAAGGATTTTTCTAGCAACATGTGAGAAGAAGCGGCTGATATACTGAAACAAAGCTTGGAATAGTTAAAAATGTTAGGACTTGAAAATGTAGAAAAGGTTAATGCGATGAGGTATCACGCGTACGAACTTAATTAATCGAAAAAAATATGCTATGAATAGCTGACGGAGGAAATTAAATTTCAGACGAAATTACATAAAGTGTGATTTTATAAAATCAAGAGGAACGTAGAATATGTAAATGTGTCCTGACCCACTTTTTCGTTAATGGGACACGGGGAAAAAAATACTATAAAATTACACGAGATGAAATAGAATTTCAACATTGAAATAAAACTACGACAATGCTAGAACCAAGATTGTATGTACTGTGAACAAATGGGATTAAAAATAACTAAGTCTTGCAAGCATAGGAACGAATGGAAAATAGGAGGTCGTGTACCTATGGCCCTAGCTGTTGCGGAACCTGCCGGCAGCTCATCAAAGAGCTTTTTTCGAGCTTGCTTCGCATAATACATGCAGCTCCAGGTTATACGGGTGTAGGTGATAAAAACTCAAAGAGCATCCTGGGTCAGCAGGATACGTCTATTTTAAGGGAATATCACGTTGCTCTTTCAGCGGTTTTTTCCCAAAAATTAGGTGGTTTTTGTTTCTACCCAACCATCGACCATGGCGTCCAGATTAGATTTCCACCCACGGAAAGTTTTCCTAGTCGGCTAGTTACGAGGTTCGCTCCGCTGTAGTTTTCGATGCTCACCTTTCTTCGTAATCGAGATGGTTTCGATATCTCATTGAAAATTGTTTTCTATTGTTGGCGAATCGTCGATAAAATTACCTTGCACACTCGTAAAGGGAATCCCTTCTAGTCGATCTCCCACTGGGGACTTGGAATTCACTCGCGAAATTTTATACCTGATATCTGGATCCATCTCACGATTCTGATAAAACAACATGGAAGTTGTAAAATGTTTACAATAAATGATTCACTTTGGAAAAAGGGTGAATTTGTATCGTTTCAAATATTGAATGACGTACCTACAGTATTTCTGCAATGGAGAGGAGAGGATTGAAATGAAAATTGTCTTGTTACGCGCTTCGATGCTTGATAACAAGAAAAGGCTAAGTTCGAAGAACGAAGAAAATCGTTAATGCAGAAATGGCAACGGGGATCTCTCGAATCGTAGAAGTTACCTTTGATCTGATACTCTGGCCGGAAATTTAAGCAGATGTAAGCAAGGAGAAACGCTTAGTGAATACCGTATTGAAACTGAGGCTCGAGGAGGAGCGTTCCACTTGCCGCGTCGGTAGGATGCGATTATATGTGTACACGATTCAAAGTGAAATACATACAAACGGACGAAATTACGCTCGCACGTTTTCATCAGACTGAACCTTCTCCTCGCGTCGTTACCCCCTTTTTCTAATTATCTTTCTGTTCGTTTTGTTATTAAGAGGAAATGAATTTGATCATGCAATTTAAATAGATTTGGCTTTAGGATTGATTACATATTTCGAGTAGACGATTAATTTTATGTTCTCATCGTTTTCTCGTTTGGTTGGAATTCGCTTAAATTATAATGGGCAAGGCGAGGCGTAGGCACGCAAATCGCCCGCGTCTGAATGTCCTCGTTACCTCTGTATATGACATTTGATAATGCTGTCAATTAGAATGGTCGGTTAGTGTCATCGATCAGCAATAGTCTTGCTGGCAGCGATGATGGGCTCGCGTTATGCATCGCGTAATAATTTTATCATTGTAATTATCGGATAAGCCGCGCCTGTAGCAATCAAGTTGGATTATGTTACTCGCGGTTCAAGTACAGCCACGTGACGTCTGATTACAGTGTAATTCGAACGATCTCTGGACATGTCTGTCTCGTAATGCTGATCATAATCACATTATGATTCGTCACATTTACCAATGTTTGCCTTCTATTGATCCGTGAGAATCGTGCAGGAAGTTCTTGTCAATTTTCTGACATGAAGTTTGGTCGATAGTCTATTTATTTTAAACAAAGTCGATTCATTTCGTGGACGTGAATGAAGCTGTCCCGCCAATTAGCTAAAAATTCTATTATTGAGAACTGTAAACGTGATTGAAGAACCGTTTCTATTTGAGGAAAACGTTTCTAGTTGAGCCTGATTTAAAATCCCCCAAATATTCAATGGTTTTGAGTACGATCAGACTAAATGAAAATAGCCGAGGCTATTGATAGGTCCAACCTTTTCCCGTTCGATAGATTCTATCCGGGCTGTTCCACGTAAAAGTTCCCCGGCTGATTGCATGAAACAAACATTTGTCCCGGCGCGATGTCGCGAGAACCAGGTAGCGATTTCGTCGAAACGACGACGAGCTTTTTCCCGTGAAAGCGGTCTCTCGTTCGCCGGCGTGTCAAGAATGAAGAAGGGTGATCCTTTCATCTAAGTGACTGCCGACTACTGCCACCCGGAATTATCCTTCAAATTGAATTGCAAAGGGTAACCTCATTCGTATCCATCCCCGGGCCGCTGACACGTATGACCATTCCCAGAGAGATCTGCGCGATTGGTATCGAAAAATTACTATCCCGCTTCCTTCTGCCCTCTCCAGTCTGGCGTAAACGCAATCCGTGATCCTTTATTTTCACGCGATCTCCTTCGAGTCTTCTTTTCGTCGCTCTTCCTTTTCTATTTCCCTCATCGCGCCGAGTCCATTACCGGGAATAGTATCCTGGATTTGATCAGACGGTATGCCTTTCTCCGCCGAGGTACTTCTCGTCGTGACACGTTAGAATTCGCCGCCCCACCGAAACGTTTTACCCCATGGACGTGAAAACCTAACGAATTTCAACCGCCTTTGAACCATTTTCTTTCTCCTCGATTTTTTCTTCAAAATCTCCAACGGTGGCGCAGGAATAGTAAGTTCTTTTCCAGTTATCGATTACATGAAGATTCGAGTCTCAGTGCCGACAATGTGAGCAAGCTACGCCGGTGAAAGGGTAAACGATCCCGACGAATTGATTACGCGTCGAAGCGGAGCATTAATGTAGTTTCGTGGCGGATAAAAGTCGAACGGGTGTAAACGAATCGAGCGTAAAGCAGGCCCGATTGAATTAAGCAAGTCAATTCCGGTAGTATAAATCATTAGAATTTATAGGGTTTTAATCTGATCGGATTGAACTCGTCTCACCTCGTTTCCACGAATATCGTAGGGAACCGTAGATGACGGACATTAATCAGTAACGACAGAAGGTCAATTACCAGCGGGCTGCTGGCTATTAAACGATCTTAATCCGGAGTCGGGTAACACGAAGTTTGATGGGCTAAAAAAAGATCAAATCGACGTACCTATTGCCAGTCCATTGCATCGTGATGAAACTTCGTATTATTGCGAATAACGGAGGATTCGCTCATGTAACTTTCAGATTAAATTCCAATTTTACAAACACGTTTGCTAATTAGTGTTTATCAACTCAGGAAATTATCCATCTGACTCACATATAAAATATAATATTTTGGTATTACGGTGTAAGTAATAAAATATGTCTGGAAACTTATAATCAATTATTTTTCTCTTTTTTATAGATAATTTCAATTGGTTGTGGAGAGGCCTGCATGTATCCAGAAGAAGTCTGCGCGAAACGAGTCAACGCCCGGTGAGTACATACTACATGCTCTGTATTTTCTTAGAATTGATAGTTCGCGTGTTCTATCAAGATACATGCGAGTTATTAAGTTGTCTATACGTTCTGCGTGGTATCTCTAATACATTGGCAAACGCGTAATTCTCGAGGATACAAAACTGACTGAGATACCGATTATGGTCGAGTTCGATCGCAGGATTTCCGACGATATTCGGGCACGCGTCGAAAACGATCTTATCCGATAGAAGCGAACTTAGCTCCCTTTACAATTGCTCTAGCGAACAGTGTTAGAGCGAATTCTGTTGGATATCAACCTGTGTACAAGTATACTTGCACAAGCGCAACTATTATGCGAGATTAATGGCTCAGGTATTTCCCTCTCTTGTAACCGGTATCCTCAAAAGCGATGTAATGCTCCTTGGGATCAGAAGCTCAACCGGTGGCGCAAACCTTTGTTTCGCGTGCCCCGAGATAGGATGATCGGTTTTCGGTAGGAGCAATCGATTTTCGGCGCACTGTGTAGATCGGCGGTGGTATGAAGCTGTGATAACGAAACAGAGAATGCTTGCGCCCTGTTCAGTTTCAAGTAATGTCGTACAGGGTATTGTTACTCCGTGTGCTTTAGATAGAGAATGCTTTCGGGTAGATACTATACATATACGTACGTTGGTCGAATACAGGACGCCCGCGCCGCTTCGCGTTTGATTAATTCACCGGTTCGTCATTGGGTAGGGATTAAGTAGTGTGGCTCGAGCTACAGTCGAACGGAACCGGATTTCCACGATTTGGATCTGTCCATCTCTCTGTTCACATCATTACTGTCGAAATATCAGTTTATCCGCTAGATCACGGTTTGAGATCCACCGACTTTTAGATAATATCTAAAGTATCGAGTAGTATGAACTATTAATAGTCAGACAGAAATAAGTTTCAATATTACTATTGAAATAAATGTGTATGTAGCGTGAACCAGGAACCCACAGAGGATATCCGTGGTTGCAGCGTGGCGCGCTCGTTTATTACGACGTTCCACCGCGTTAAAGTGATTATTCTAAACAATAGCTGATCTTCTATGCGCGCCACCGACGCCGCAGTTGACCTGCGTTCATGCTCGACAAACGGTGATATCGACGATGAAGTAACGATTGCGCGTGACAAATACGATTTGTGTAATTAGCACGGCAATAATGACAATATCGTGCGACGCATTAATCGCATTATGCTCGCGAATGGTGTCATTTAAATGCGGTTTGATGCCGATAGTTTGAAACGCTCGCAAATTGGAAACCCGTCTCTCGCCGAGGCAACCGGCCCTGGCTATTTTAACGACGATGCGGCGGGGCTTCGCGTAAATCAAACGCAGCCGACGCTTTTCCTAGCGCGGGGATCCACAGTTACGACGCTTTTACGAGACGTTAATTTCATATCGGCCGGAGGCCATTTAGTCCGGTGTTAAAAAGGCGATAAGTAACGCGATTAATCGAACGATCGGTGTTTAAATGGACTCGGGCCATTGTCCGCGCGTAATGCAGCCAATTTAAAATGTGCTCGGTACCCTTTCAGGTCGGGCGTCTACCGAATCATAACGTAACGTCACGTATCATCCCCTGATTCGATTCCAGCAATCCGCGCATGTCAGTTTTCCTCGATGAGGCTGTTGCATCTTCATTCGATGTAACGTGATGCAAATGGATCCGATATTACTTGTCGATCGTGTAAGCGATATCTTCGATGAAATCGAATTTCTCACACCTATCCTTTTAATAGGATCGTAAACGATCTGACATGTTGAAATCATAACTAATCAGGGAATAATTCGATCGTTGCAATTTCATCTTCAGCAATTTTGGTTTGCTCTTGAAAACGGCTATTTAAGGGATAATTTTATTATCTACCGACAACCTGTTGTAACAAGTAATGACAATATCCCGGAAACGTAGTGCACACAACGGTAGCCCATAGGTGAGAGATCAAAGAGGTTGGTTTAACGGACAGGACGTCGTTTGGGGTGGGAAGAAGAACGCCACGGAGCCGACTTCCGAGTCGACCAAATTCCTCGTTTCGTTGGCAGCGGGACTATTGCCTCGCGCTCCTTCTACGTGTTCCGAATGCCTGTTCAATGTCTTCAAGACCGATGTTCCGGTTCCTCCGCTGCTTTGCACATTGGTATTCCCGCTATTTCCAACTGGCTAACACACTGGGCGTTGCGCTGCTGCGCTACGCGCCGCATGCCCTGACCTTCTTTGCCAGATCGCAATTTCCTCGCATTTTCCGATCCCTTTCCTGTCTCGCGCCGGTCTCGTTGTTCCCCGTCGATCATTCTGACCTCCTCGCCGGAGGAGAAACCTTACGTGGCTCTCGACGCTTTTCTCAGCCGTGGAACAACAATCGCGAACGAGTTCCTTGAAACGACTCTCGTATTCCATGCCAGTTTCATTATACGCCGCGCCACGCATCCGCCCTCGCAATTAAGGAACAAAATAAAGCTTCCATGGCAAACAGCTACCGAGAAGAGGTAATTGAATCTCGCGACCTAGTTTGCAAGAAATTTTTCGAAACGGAAATTGAAATAGAGTAAAACATAGCGGATACTTCTTTAAATATGTTTTAGAAACATTCTTGAACAAAGATGCTTATCGAATATTTGAACGTGTCAATGGGATGATGTTAATATATTATTTTCGCAGTAAAAACACGGTTCGAACGTCATAATTTACATTCGATGTTAGTTGTAGCAATATTTTTTGCTTTTCCGGGTATTCGTTTTACGCACCGAGCTTTGTGAATATATCGCAGTCACCTGTTCGACACGACGACGAGCAAAGCAGATTACATCCGTGCGTCCAGCAAACACAGAAATTAGCGGACGCGATTGGTTTTTATTCATAAAGATTATTAATTCGTCGTTTCGTGCGTGACGCGTTGGAAAAACGCGTATCCGACGCGACGCGACGCTGACGGTACGCGTATGGGGATTTCAATAAAATTTATACAACCTTATTAACAGAACGGCTATCGTCGCATGTCCCGATGAATATTGTGCCGACCGATAACTCATCGAAATCAAATCGGCAGCGTAAACATTTGCATTCGTCGATCGCACGAAACGAATCGCTGTTGCCCGTGTCTCTTTCTCTCTTTCGCGAACTTTTTAATTCATTGAATGAAATTGACGTTCCTTTGTGTATCCATCTGTTTGCCTCTAGTATTAACTTTGCCTCCTATGTATCTTTGTGAAAAGAAAAAAAAATGTACAAATCCATTTAAAGCATAGACTAATTTAACGAATGTATTTGCTGTCGTACCTGTTTTGTTTGACTTTTCGAGCGATATAAATTATGTGCAATATCGATACAATTCTAGCGTAAAGAATGTTCCTTTACGATTTTTATTAGTCCTTCCGGCGAAGGCGGGGCGTCAACGCTGCCATAAATTCTATTGTTTCCAGTCGCAGGGATTGCGGGGTACGGTATATACTGTCATAAATTCAGCGGACCCATCAAAAGAACCTGCTGACACTGACAAGAGTCATCTGTCTTCGACAAAATGACGCGTCACGAAGTTTCGCTCTTTATTGATACGTTATCGGATCGTAAATACTCGGCGCCGTTCAATTTTCAAGCTCGGGCTTTCCATTTGTTTAGAAAACGTGAAGTCGAGAGCAGGTATCTAATTAGGCCGCGATTCGACTCATGATTTCTTGAAACGCGCCGTCTACAAAGGCCGATTAATCATACGTCCACTCCGGTTGTTCACCGTTCCTTCTCAAGAATTGTTGCAATAACTTTCTGACAAACGCTTGGGGTACTGCAAAGCTAGGGCAGACAGTTGAGTGAAGAAATTACACGCGAAAAAGCTCGCAGCTCTCGGGGAGTGGGTCACGCGCCGCGCCAGGTCAGGAATTAAGCAGGAGAAAATATCGTCCAGAAGGTGTGCGCCCCGCGAAAACTCTCCCGTCTAGATTTCCCCGGGGTGAACTTGATAAGCTCTCCCGAAAGTTGCGCGGCTCGCTCCGCGAGCTTCGGTCGTTCTAATAAAGGACGGGGCCAGGATTTTCGGCCGTTGTTAAAAAAAAAAAAAAAGTCGAGTCGTTGAAAACCGGTTCGATCGTTTCCCCCGTCTTAATCTGATTGCAGGAACTGGACGTGAAAAATACTCGGCACCCACCCCTGGCTACTGTACCCTCTACAAATAATGCAATTTTCCGACGCCGATCCATCGCTTCGTGAAACCGGTAAACCGCGAGCTAATTCCCTCGTCCGCGTTAATTACTCTTTGTCCTCTTCCTTTCTTTTTTGCGCTGCCCGGCTTCTGTTTGCCGGAATTTCGCTTTTCCTCTCTATCCAGCTTCGATCACGGAGCACTGAATTGAGTTTCCGCCGTTGAAAGCCTCTGGCTAATTTCTCGTCAGTCTTATTAAACCGATCGGCCGTGTCTTGAGCGCCCTTTCTAATTATTGTCCAGTAAACTATTTTTCTATTATAAATAGAGTTCTTATATAATCACTGTTAGCAAATTGTGATGGGAAAGTTAAGAGAAACAGACTCTAGGATAGACTCTAGGCTGCTTGTTAATAATGTACAATGAAGTATTCTGGGACGTAGTCTCCCGTCCGATTATAGTGTAAGGAAATAAAAGAACACATGTTGTATGATGAGGATAAGTAATATATTTTAAGACATAATTAACTCCATGTTCACTTGATTTCGATCGGACGACTGTCGCATTGAAACCGAGCCGAAGGGGTCGATACAGATTTACGGGAGGGAAATTGACAGGCGTAAGAAGAGAGTCATCACTTCGACGGTTCCATCTTGTAACTAATTTTCAGCCGCTTTATCGAGCTCTTTAAGCCCCGCAGGAAATAGCAGACCTTTAATCCCTGCGGTACCGAAGACTTCCAACGCTGTGAAAGCTTTGAGGAACGTTGATTGCATTCGTCAAACTTCCGTACACATATCCCGTTTGTAGCTCGCGACCCGTATAGACACCCCGACAGATAAGCTTTCAGG